AGGAGGAGGAGAAGGGGGACGGGGAGGAGGAGGAGGAGGAGGAGGAAGAGGAGGAAGAGGAGGAAGAGGGGGAGGAGGAAGAAGAGGAGGAGGAGGAGGAGCAGCAGGAAGAGGAGGAGGAGGAGGATGAGGATGATTATTTCAGGGGTTCCGCCATCGCGTAATGATATCTTTTACGACAACGCACGCCCCCTCTGAGCTTGACGTAGAAGTCGACGAACAAGACGGCGATGCACTTCAACCCGTTCACGGTTTGCTGAAAAAGAAGCCCGTGGAACACCGAGATGATACCGCGGATGGGTCTTTCCAGACAGTGATTGCGCCCACGGCGCAGAACATCACACAGCATGGCAGAAGTTCAGTTGAGTTGAATTCGACTCGATACGGCCCATTTATCAGAGAGAGAACACCACTGGTCATCGGGGAACCCAGACGGATCGCCTTCTCCACAGACAGCCTCACCAACAGCCAATACCAAAGGACCACAACACAACAAGCGAGCGACGGTGTGTTCACCCCTTCAATACAACCATATGGATACATGAGAAGTTGAAGTATACTGAATTGGAATAGCTCCCAGACCCACGCTCCATCGAAAAGGCCGCCGCCCGAGTGGGTCTTAGATGGGCTCGAAGCCCCCGTGCCCCTCGATTGCGGACGGGATGCCGAAGAAGAAGGCCAAGGAGAGCACCACGACGAACACAGCCGCGCTCCGCCGCCAGAGTGGGACTTAGATGGGCACGAAGCACCCGTGCCCCTCGGTGCGGACGGGATGCCGAGGAAGGTGTTCGGGAAATTGCGAACATTGAAACACAGAATTGGAATCACCTGAATTCGCCCATTATTGCCATCCGACACCGAGAACAACTATCTTACGAACGGTTCTGTGGTGTGCGCCCAATGGGCTGGGTGTTCCATGCCTAGCTCGAGCCCAACTGGGTACGATGCCTTGGGCCACGCGTGCTTGAGTGGAGGAGGAGGAGGAGGAGGAGGAGGAGGAGGAGGAGGAGGAGGGGTAGGAGGAGGAGGAGGGTGGTGGAGGCGGAGAGGCGGAGGGGGCAGGGGGAGGGCGGCGGGCTGTAGGGCGCGGGTGAGCGCGAGGGGGAGGGGGTTAGGGAGATGAGGGAGATGGGGGGAGGTGCAGGGGAGGCGGGGGAGGGGGTGGAAGAGGAGGAGAAGGATTTGGAGGAGGAGGAGTCGGAGAAGGAGGAGGAGGAGGAGGAGGAGGAGGAGGAGGGGGAGGGGGAGGAGTAGGAGGCAGAGGAGGAGGAGGCGGAGGAGGAGAAGGAGGAGGAGGAGGAGGAGCAAGGGAGGCGACCGCCCCGCCGCCTCGTCTGTCTCGGCGCCCTTCGGCGGAGGAGGCCGGCAGCAGCCGCGGCAGCGGCGGCAGCGGCGGCCCGGCCTCGTCGGCGGCGGGCGGCTCGGCTTGCGGCGCGAGCGGCGGCGGCGGGCTGCGGCGGGCGGCAACGACGGTGGCGGGCGGCGGCTGCGTGCGCTTGGCATCGCTCGGACGTGTGCATTTTTCTTTCGGCAAGGACCATCGAGGAGCATCCTTGATCACTTTGCGAAAAAGCCACGCACGGAAGCGGAAAACAGCACAGGGAATGGACGTCCGAGCGATGGCCAGTGCGTCGAAGAGAAGAATCTCCCCAGACTCCCTCACGTTGTGAGACAATCACGACGGTATTTTTTTCGCTATTTTCAGTCTGCGTGGGCCCTCACCGGGCCTCGGGGTCGTCGAAAACGACTCAGGACGAAAAACCGTCCTGGGAAGGGGTCCAGACCTCTGTGGGTGAACGTTGTGAACCAATCACGACGTCGGGGGTCTGGGTCGGAGGAGGACGAGGTACCCATACCGCTACCCTGCCCTTATTTTCCCCTGTTTCGGCCTCATGGGAGACCCTCGTCGCCACCGCTGGATTCGCCTCGACAGCCTGTTCAAACCGCGCCCCGGGAGAGGTGCGAGGAGTATCGGTATCGGTTCCTTTTGGATCCCCCATCACGGGAGGGACAAACACCCCGGTTTCCACAGTTCGCGGCTGCTGAGCGGCCCTGGGCATTTTGAGTCAGAAGTTTTGCCTTCTTCGATATCGATCCTTGGGTGCGCTCATGAGACGGCTGCGTTCGTTGGGCTGCTTACGAGGGATGTGTTGTGTGCTTGCTCCCTGAAACCACGTACGCATCAACATGATTGCTGGGAGCTCCGCGCGGCGCTCCAGGGACGGCCTGGGCTTCCGGCGCAGATCAGAGGAGCCTGCACGGAGCTCCGAAGGCCTCTGCTTCCGCAGCGCTGTGTTCCTCCAGTGGGGGCGGGGCGCCGTGCCGCGAGCTGTGGAGCGGCCGGCAGGACAAGAAGCACGCGCCCCTGGCCTCGATGTTGATCGAGCGCGGCGCCGACGTGCACGCCGAGGAAAGCGGCAGCCTCCTCCACCCCGTTCGGTCAGGGTTCCACGACTTCTGCTGGCGCCCGGCTCGCGCTGGAGCTTCCATGATCTCTCCAGAGTGCTTTGATGTCCATGGGCTTTCCTCGGTTCATTTGGAATATACATCTGTTTGCGCGGATCTGCTCTGATCAGCTTCGGATGATGTAGAGTGTTCCCTGCAGGTCGATTGGAGAAGAGTTGTCGTGCCCCCAAGGTACCCCTGCCGCAACTCCCCGCCCGGGTCAGCCGCATGCGCTCAGACATAGCCGCGCTTCGCTGTGTGGTGGGCGGCGCGAGAGCGCCAACATGACCCGCGCTCTGGTGGGTGGCACGAACGCGTGAAGCTACGTAGGTGTCAGGGGGCGTCACGTCCGCGTTGCTCGCTGTCGTTGCTGCCTTCTGGGTCGGAAGCAGGTTCTCGAGGACGCAGCATTCACAAGAGAGAGCTGCGGTGTCGGCGGCAGGATGGGTTGAAAGAGGAGGAAGAAGAGGTGGAGGAGGAGGAGGAGGATCATTGAGGATGATGTGGACGGTGCGGGTGACGATGCGGATGATGATGAGGAAGGGGGAGTATTGCGGCCACGGTGTAGTTCCACGATGTTCATGTTGATGCTGATTTTGACGACGATGACGACGATCATAATGACAATGGTGATAACGACTAGCCGTCATAATCGCGATGATGATGTGGAGACGAAGGATGAGTGGGACCAGAGACGAACGAGCAGGAGTAGGAGCAGGAACTTACGCGAATGATGCCCACCACGATGGCCGCGATGAGGAGGCGGAGTGCCAGTGTAAACCCAAGACGCTTCAACGATGTTGCAACCCCTCCAATAATTTATCTTCAATGCTTGAAGTGCCTCGTTGGAAGTCAACTGCCTGAGAATCCTCAATCGTACCAAGACACGACACATGGGAGTTCATCCACGCGAATTAATATGTTTGTCGAATTCTGCCGATCCTGCATCATACCAGAACGCGGTTCCTGGGACTTCAACAACGTGAATCAACGTGATTATTGCGCCCCGACAATCCTGAATCGTGCCAGAACACCATCCTTGGGGCATCCACCATATGCTGTAATGTTTGGAGACGAATGCGTGCGGCGCTAAGGCGAGAGTCATGTTTTGAAAAAGTCAGGAGGGGAAAAACACACAGACACTATGAATCGTCCACTCTCAGGAAAATATATGAAACTATGGGAAGTGAGGGGGAAGACAAAAACAACAAACAAAAAAATATGAAAATATGGGGAATCGTGTTATTTGTGTGTATTTATTTGTGTGTCCTGGGGCCCCTCGAAAAAGAAGCGTCCCCCATCCATGAAGCTCTTGCGGACTGTAATATTGAGGAGGAGGAGGAGGAGGAGGAGGAGGAGGAGGCGGCCCAGCAGACCAGCAGCGCCCGACCGCGCCCGCTCCTGCCCGGAGGGAGACAAATACCTGCTGATTCCCCCGGAAGGGGGAGAAACATGGGAAGGCAAGTGGAAGGCGAGCATCCAGAAGATACTCGGGGCGTGGGGCCCGAAGTGGCCCGCGCCCGCTTTTCTTGCCTCTGGGGCTCGCGCGTGCTGCGCCGCGCACGCCCTGCACGGGGACTGCCCTCGTAGGCCCTCTGGGACAGGCCCAGAGGTGGCCTCGGGCTTTGGCGCCTCAGTGGTGCCCCTCTAGCCTTTAGAGGCCCCGCAGAACCAGAACCATAACCAGAAGATATTCGGGGGCGGCAGAGAGTGGGGTGGTGATGAAGGGGGGGGGTGGAGACCATGGCGCGGGCCACGAGACTTCCGCCAGATCTCATGGCGCCTCTTCTTGTCTCATTACGTCCCTGCCCCCCCCCCCCACCTGGGCCGCGCACGTGCCGCCGGCCATGATTTGCGCCCCCCCCCTCTTGGGCACCCCCCTCTTGGCCGCCCCCGAGATATGGCCAGCCTGGGGAATCCTGGGACGTGTGTCTCCTGATTTGTGTGCCCCGAGCGCCCAGAGCGGGCGCTTTCCGGGAGGCGGCACTTCCTGGCGACGCAGCCTTGCACGCGGCACGCCCATGCAGGGCGGCCCGGAGCGGCCATCACAGAGGCTTGTTTTCGTCAGGGCTTGCGGATCGCAGGCCTGAAGGGTGGCCGATAACAAAAAAACCCTACCCCTAATAACGTGATGTAGACGTGGCCTGACTGAGGTCCCCATCTGCGCATTGGGGGTCACAGAAATCTGGGTTGTTTGGTTCCGTGCATCTGCAGAAGAGACCCCCTACCCCGAATGTGTTCGGCCTTCCTAGCTTGAGTCCCCTCCCAAAGGGCCAGGGGTCCTTTTATTGGTCGCCCACGAGGCAGCTTTGCACTCGTGTGCCCCTGGGCCCCTTCCTCCCTCCCCCACATCGTCATGGTCCTCTCTTCCTCCTCCTCCTCCCCGTCCTCCCCCTCCTCCTCCTCCTCCTCCTCCTCCTCCTCCTCCTCCCCCTCCTCCTCCTCCTCCCCCTCCTCCCCCTCCTCCTCCTCCTCCTCCCGGCTCGCCAATCGAAGGCGGCAGCGGGAGGCGGCGGGCGCCCGAACATGCGCTCCCGCGCGCGCGGGCGGGCGCGATGGCGGCGGCCGCGGCCCTCCGGGCGCCCGCCTGGCCGGCCCGCGCGCTGCGCGGGCTGGCCGGGCGGCCGCCGGGGGCCCTGCGCCGTCCCAGCGTTGGGCGGTGCCGGGAGCGGTCCTCACATCAAAGGTCGGGAGCCTCGAGACGGGGGTCAGTGCAAACGGGGGTCAGCCAGAGCGCCCCGACCATGCAGGATCCTGCAGGGCCAGGGTCGCATTGACCCGGGTTTGGGTGCAGGATTTTTTGCAGGATCTTGCAGGACTCTGCAAGGCCTGACTGACCCGGGTCTGGATTGACCCGGGTCAGCAGGTCCCCGAAAAGGAGCTAATGTAACGCTTGAATAGAGCAAATGACGTTTCTTTGTTAGTTTTTTTGTAGTTGATAGGTGAACCCCCCTTTTTCAGCAAAGCACCCCAAAAATGCTACCCCGAATTTCAAAGTTCCGAAAAGAGGTACCCATACCGCTGCCCTTTCCTCGTGTTCCCTCTTCGAGGAGCGGTCCGAGGAGCGGTCCTCAGAGGAGGATAAGAGGTACCCTTAAGTCGGGCCTGTCCCCCTACAGGGGGGTTTTTGACGAAGATTCAAAATACCCAAACAATACACCAAAAAGGTCAAAACATATTCAAACAATAGTCCCCAGACTATTTTTGGACAATGTTTTGAATCTGTTTGGGGTATTTTTTATTTTTCATCGAAAATCCCCCTGTAGGGGGACAGGCCCGACTTAAAGGTACCCATACCGCTAGCCTTTCCTCGTTGTCCCTCTTCTGTGGGGGAACCTCCTCGGAGGCCCTCGTCGCCACCGCCGGATTCGCCTCGAAGTTCTGGTCAGAACGCGCCCCGGGGGAGATCAGGGGAGTACTGGTATCGGTACCTGTATGGTTTTCCCAGGTCTTGGCCTCGGTGTGCCCTAGATCAGTCCAGGTCTCCCAGATTTGGTTCGTGCAGATGGGGTCGGAGGATCGCGCCGCATCGTCGATGCATCGACGATGCGGCTCGATGTGGAGCCCGTGTTCCCCCACGCTGACGTCACCGATGCATCGCCGACGTTGCCGATGCATAGCCGATGCATCGCCCATACATCGGCGATGCATCGGCGATGCGGCGCGATCCTTCGACCCCATCCTTTCGGACCCCATCTCGGAGGCCACTAATCACCGAGCGCGTTCCAGTACTTGTAGAGTGCCAACTCGCAAGCGCCCGAAAAAACGCATGATCTACTCGATGTATTGGGTCATACCCCGCCAAGCGGCGGATCCAGGCCATTAGCGAATAGCTACTCTGCGAGTAGTGGACCGCGCTTGTCTACTGGAAGCGGCTGGACTGGTGTCTCGGCCTCCCCTGAGATCCTGGCGTTGCAGCTGTTTCACAACGGGCGTTTTCGACCCGCTTCGGGCACAGGGACCCTCACAGATCGAGCCGGCTCGAGAAATGACGCAGAGAAATGGGTCTGCGATTTTGGTCGTGATTTTTGCGAGGTTGCATTTTTGTCGCAACGTAAGGTCTCAGGGTCTCAGATGGGGTCGGAGGATCGCTCGGAGTCGCCGATGCCTCGGCGATGCGGCTCTATGTTGAGCCCGATGTTCTCCACCTCAACTTCGCCGATGCGTCACTGACGTCGCACATGCATCGCCGATGCATCCTGTATCGGCGGCGCGGCACAATGCTCCGACCCCATCTACTCGGGCCCTTCTCGCCTCCCATCCTCCTCGCCTCTTTGTGACCAGAGGCCTGCCAAGCTATCGGACCATGTGTTCCCCGAATCGGTGTGGAAAGCGTTCGGGGAACACGGTGGGGAGACTTGGCCGACTTGGGGCTTTCTTGGGGGGCTCCAGGGCCGTCTTGGAAGCCATCCTCAGCGTCTTGGAGGCCTCTTGGGCCGTCTTGGGGGCCTCTTGGGGCCGTCTTGGGGGCCTCTTGAGCCGTTTTGAAGCCATATTGGAGACCTCTTGGGCGATCTTCAGGGGCTCTTGGGCCTTTTAGGGCCTTCGGAAGGCCGAAAAGAAGCAAATGCCACAATCCTTCAACAACTCATGGGAAATCAATGATTTGGGCCCTTTCGGGCCTTCCTGGAGGCCCTCTTGGAGGCCAGTTTGTGGGGATGTCTCAAGCGGTTTGCTCGTTTTCATGCCAAACATCCTTGACATTCAGAGCAGATTGTGAGGATGTCTCAGGCGGGGCGCTGGTTTCAGCACCCTTAAGGGGAGCCGCCAGGGGTGTTTGCATGGGCCGTTCGCGGCCAGTTTGTAAGGATGTCTCAGGCGGTTTGCTCGTTTTCATGCCCAACATCCTTTGCTTTCAAAGCGGATTGTGTGGATGTCTCAGGCGGGGCGTTGGTGCCGCCAGGAGTGTTTTCACGGGCCCTTTCGCGGCCAGTTTGTGGGGATGTCTCCGGCGGTTTGCGTGTTTTCATGCCCAACATCCTTGGCTTTCAGAGCAGGTTGTGAGGATGTCTCAGGCGGGGCGCTGGTTTCAGCACCCCTAAGGGGAGCCGCCAGGGGTGTTGGCACGGGCCCGTTCGCGGCCATTTTAGGGGATGTCCCAGGCGGTTTGCTTGTTTTCATGCCCAACATCCTGGGCTTTCATAGCAGATTCTGAGTATGTCTCAGGCGGGGCGCTGGTTTCAGCACCCCTAGACGGAGCCGCCATACGGGTGACTCATACTCACTCATTCGCATGCGGATTCGCTCGTGTTCGTCGGCCCTGTCGCCCATGTGGACGCGCTATTATAGTCAAACGCTCATGAGCAGACGCTCGCTATGGCATGACATAAAACATGAGATGCACATATGGGGAGCTCCACGCAGTAAGTAAGTATTATACATGGTCGTAGACTAGGAAAACTGCATCTCCCGCGCGCGCGTCGGAGTACATACAATTTGGTTCAAAGCATGTCCGAAGAGTATTCAAAATGTGCCCAGGCGCGGACGACGCGGCAACATGATAGCTTACTGCCTCCGATGAGTAACTGCGCGCGCACCAGAATACATATTGTTTTTTGGTTAAACTATTCTGGCGAAGGTCCCAACCATATGCAGTTGTGGGTACCGTAATTGTGAATATCTGCTTCGGTGAAGCTCCCTATGGAGCCAAGAAGCGCTGCACTGGGCGGGGGGGAGCGCTGTACTGTGTGGGTGGTGTGCCGAATTGGGCTTCCGGTGCGCACGCGGGTCCCACTGAAGGCTTCGGTGGATCGCCTTATGGGGCCACTAAACGTTGTATTGAGTGAGTGAAAGTGCCAAATTGGGCTACCGGGACGCACGCGGACGGTCCCACTGGGGGCTTCGGTGGAGCCCCCTTTATGGGGCAACGAAACGTTGCGCGGGTGAAAATGCCAAACTACATTTCCCGGACGCATGCGGACGGTGGCACTGGGGCCTTGGGTGGAGCCACCTATGGGGCCACGAAGCGCTGCACTGGGTGGGTGAAAATGCCAAATTGGGTTTCCGGGGCGCATGCGGACGGGGGCACTGGGGCTTTCGGTGGGGTTCCCTATTGGGCCACGAAGCGTTGCAATGGGTGGGTGAAACGCAGGAAGGAGGGGGAAGAGGGCCACGAAACGCTGTATTGGGTGTGCGGGACGCATGCGGACGGTAGCAGTGGGACCTTCGGTGGAGCTCCCTATGGGGCCACGAAGCGCTGTACTGGGTGTGCGGGACGCATGCGGACGGTAGCGCTGGGACCTTCGGTGGGGCTCCCTAATGGGGCCACGAAGCGCTGTATTGGGTGTGCGGGACGCATGCGGACGGTAGCACTGGGACCTTCGGTGGGGCTCCCCATGGGGCCACGAAACGCTGTATTGGGTTTGCGGGACGCATGCAGACGGTAGCACTTGGACGTTCGGTGGGGCTCCCTATGGGGCCACGAAACGCTGTATTGGGTGTGCGGGACGCATGCGGACGGTAGGGTGGGGGGGGAAGAGGAGGAGAAGGAGGAACGCGGGGACCGTATCTTCAAAACGAGAATCCAACACCACAGGACGGTTGGGAAAAATCCCATGTAATAAGAACCTCCCTGTAGGTTCACTCGCCTCCTCCGCAGCATTCGGCGCACCCATTAAACGCGACTTGGCCCCATTCGGCCTTCCCCACACCATGTCGGAGCACCCCTCACACGTTCCGTGGCGCCGTGGGGAACCCCACCGAACGCCCCAGGGGTGGTGCCGCACAGCGTCGCTCTGCATCGTTTCGGCGCACCCCATGACACGTCCGGTGGCCACCTTGAGAGTTCCACCGGCCGCACTGCCGGGGCCCACGCGCCTTCTCCACACCATTTCGGAGAATTTCTATCCGATTCTGTAGCGCCATACGGGACCCCACCGAACAGCTCGGCCTTCGGCATTCCCGTCACACGCTTCGTGGAGTTCCACCCAAGGCACCAGTGGCAGGATTGGCATGCGTGGCCGCGCCCATTTCGGCATTCCTGTCACACGCTTTTCGCACTGGTGGCCTCGCTTAGTTCGGCACACTCTTCACGTTCTTCGTAGACCGATCGGGAGCTCCACCGAAGACCCCGCCGCCTGCCGCTCCCCAGGGCCGCGACGACAGACACGCAGATAGCCTTCCCGGGTTACACTCAGATGTAACCCGTCACGGCCGACCTCTGCGACCGCATCAGCAATGGCGTTCCACCCTTCTCACTCACGCCGTATTCCTTGTGTTAACTTCTTCGCTTAGTTTCCGCCTGTCTTGCGATACTCACAGTTGCACACGGTTGGGCCCTTCGCCAGGCAAGTTCACAACCGTTCTTAGATGTTTGGTCCTCGTTTTGAATCCGCAGCGCGCGTTCAATTCCCTCCCCGCTGCCCTCTCCTCCCTCTTTACGTCCTTGCATTTACCCTCCGCGTGCACATGCTCGCAACTCCTCACACGCTTCGTGGCCCCATTAAGGGTTTCACCGAAAGCCCTAGTTGGTAGTACCGCGCGTAATCTCCAGCAGATTTCGGCACACCCTTCAGACGCTTCGTGGCCCCATACTATGCAGTCCCACTGAAGCCCCCAGGGGTGTGATACCGCATAGCGTTCCCCAGCCCGTCTTGGCACACATCTTAACCGCATGCCGATGATAATAAAGGGACCCCCCCTTCAGTGTTTAGAGTTGATTATCGTCGCCCTATACAAAATTCAAATTGGGCGGCGAGCGCTGAGGCCGAACTTCATTATCACCTCGAAACGCTATGTTGAGATAGCAAGTTGTTTCTTTTTATTTATATTTGTTTATTATCTTCCTTTTTATGTATGTAACTATCCCCGCGCGCGCCTGAACTTTTTATCTCTGGGGTTGATTATCCATGGAAAGGGGAGCACATGAGCTACCCTACATGAGCACTTAAGAAAAATCATAAAGCGTTTGTAAATTAAAATTGATAGATTTGGAACTTTCCATTTTTCCGTTCTTCTTCTCTTCTTCTTCTTCTCTGCTTCTTCTCTTCTTATTATTATTCTATTTTCCTCTTCTTCTTTTATATTTCTATCTGTCCTCACGCTCGCCTGAACTTTTTTATCCCTGGGGTTGATTATCCATGGAAAATGAAGCACATGAGCTACCCTACACGAGCACTTTAAAAAAACAAAAAAAAAAAACAATTTTCATAAAGCGTTTGTAAATTAAAATTGATAGATTTGGAACTTTGGATTTCTTTCCCAAAACGTGCTCGGCTTGGTCTCCTCTTGATCATCTCTTACTTCGAGATTATGCTGAGGTCTGCTGGGCTACTTTTATTATCTCTCCCTGAACCCCGAACTTTATTATCCCCTAGTGTTTATTCTCACGGGCATGTGGTTACTCGTTCCGTGTCCCTTACAAGGAGCTCCACCGAACACCCCGAGGGGTGGTACCGCATAGCGTACCCCAACCCATTCCGGCGCACCGCTCACACGTCTTGTGGCCCCATAGGCTCCACCCGACGCCCCAGGGGGTTGATACCACATGGCGTCCACCAGCCATTTCCGGCTCACACGCTTCGTGGCATCATAAGGAGCTACAGCCAAAGCCCCAGGGGGTTGTATTGCCTAGCGTTCCCCAGCCCACTTCCGCACACTTTTCGCACGCTTCGTGGCCCCATAGGAATGTACCCCTAACCTGGTACCGCACAGCGTTCCCCAGCCCATTACAGCACAAACATCACACGCCTCGTGGCCCCTAAGGGCGCTCCACCCAAGGCCCCAGTTGTGCGTCCACATGCGTTCCCCATCCCGTTTGGGCAGACCCCTTACACGCTTCGTGGCTCCATTGGGAGCTCCACATGGCAGAGGCCATAGCGGGTGCGACAACAGCGATTCCTCTCTGGTGCACCCTTCACACGTTTTGTTCCCAACGGGTGCGTCCACATGCGGCCCCCCGCCCATTTTGGCCCACCCCCAACACGTTCAGTAGCACCAGAAGGGAATCTTCTTCATTCCGCCCACCTTCCTTGCGGCACTCCTGCCTGCATATGGTTGGGCCCTTCGCCAGGATAAGCAATTTGTTCCTGTGAACTGAGTCGGCGGCGATCCCAGGTTGGAAGTGAGGGGGGCAGGCGTTCTCAGAAAGGGGGCGGCGCGTCTCAGGAGCCCTCCGGCCCTCTGAGACGCAGCCCCCCCCGTGTGCGGAGGATGCATAAATAAAGCATTTCTCGGAAGGCCCGAGGCCTTCCAGCCCTCCCCCCCCGGGCTCGCCGCCCCTCCCCTCCCCTCCCCCTCCCTCTCCTCCTCCTCCTCCTCCTCCTTCCCTCCTCCTCCTCCTCCTCCTCCTCCTCCTCCTCCCCGGGGAGCCCGCGGTGGTTGCTAAGGAGGGATGTGGGGTTTTGAAGTGGATGCGAAAGTGAGTTTTCTCTGGCCTAACTCAAGTGACAAGTGGGTCACAAGTACACCATGTGGCTCGGGATGGTGAAGCAACTCCGCTGAGTGGGCTCCGCCTTCTCGGCCCAGATCCGTGCGCCATGGAGCCACTTGGGGCACGCGCAGCCCACTTCAGACCTGCGCCAGGCTGGATGGACCCCACCTTTGCGTCCACTTGTGTGCCCCTGTCCTCCTAGCGCCCCCCGCGGCGATTCCACTGACCTCGGGCCCGTGCCGCTTCTGGCACCACCCGACCAGCGCCCTCGGGCTCGGGGCCCTCGGGGCGCCCGCTGGGCGCCTCGGCGCCCCCTCGGCGCGGCGGCCCGCGGGCGCTCCCCTGCTGCGGGCGCCCGGCGGCGGCGGCGGCCGCGCGCGCTTCTGCTCGGAGGCGGGGCCGCCGCCGCCGGGCCCGGACGAGGCGGAGGGGAGGCGCAGGACGCCCAGTGCCGGGGGAAGAGGCGCGTCCTTGCTTCGGTTCCTGGTGTCCCCATCGTCACTGGAGGGCCACCTCCCAGACATCATTTCGAGCACTCCAGAAACGCATCGAAGCAATGTCGAACGAGTATCGCCTCCCAGGGCCCGACACGCGGAAACCCTGCAAATTCGGTATTTTCTTGGTGCTCGAAATTTTTTCTGGTGATCAACGCTAAAGTAGGTTGGAACATCATAAGCCTTGGTTGAGGCTGATAGTGGTGCTGTTAGCCTCTGGGCCATGGCGCGAGTCATCATGGCCCCCATCCCCCCTCCCCTCCCCCAAGCGCAACGCCCCCCCCTCCCTCTAGTGCGCCCCCCGACTTTGCCGCAGTGCGCCTGGCACCACAGTCTGGGGTGCCAGACCCGCACGGCGGGGGTGGTGGGGGGGGGGCGCCACGTTACAGTCGGCCCTGATTGGTAGGTCGACCATGCCGAATCGAGGGTACCCTTGTGTTCTGTCTATCCCGACCTACGCAGCCCGAATGTCCTTCGGTCTTCTGGGGCCACGTTGCCGTCGGAAGAGTCTTGTGTCCTCTTGGTTTGTCCTTTCCAATCACGTCCGACTGTATTTCGGCGGTGAGCTCGGGGGGGGGGGGCGTGAGAAAGGGCGGGCCGTTCCAGAAGGCTCGGAAGTTGTTTAAGCCTTCCCTGGAGACGCAGGACAATTCTCCGAAGGTGTGAGAGCGTCTGAGAAGTTCCGCTGCCTTCTAAGAAGGCCTTCTCCTTCTCACTTCCCCCCTTCGCTCGCCGCCGAACGAGGGGTGCTCTGGAGGACTTGGCCCCCCGCCCCGAGAAGAATCCCGTGGACACCCTAGACCGGGGACACACTTGCCATCGTTTGGACGTTCATCCTGGGCAGTCTGGGCCTGCTCCCTGGCATTCGGCCCTCGGGGGTATTCGAGGACGGAAAACGGCCTACGTAACACATGACTTTTCGGCTCTCCGCGCGGCTTTCTTGGACCTGCGCTGGGGCCCTTCCGGCGGCGCCTCCAGCGCCGCCCCTGGCGCGCTCCTCGCGCCGGGGAGGGGGCTCCAGCGCAGATCCAAGAAATCCGCGCGGAACGCCGAAGCTTTCTGCTGATGCGTGTGGTTGTCGTATCTCCTATGCGTGCTCTGGCCCATTTGGCCCCGTAGTGCCCCTCGGCTGTCTCCGGCAGCGGAGTGGATAGTGTTCCCTGGGAGTTGGCCTTAGTCGGCCAGTCTTCCGGAGCGCGAGAAGGATGTACGCGTACATGAATCCACGCTTAACAAAAAAGCGCATCGCGCGAACGTTTTGACCATGCGCATGCACGTGGTTGAGCGCGCACACGTCCGTTGTGGGCTCCCTACGCCTCGGGGCGACGAGCGGAGCTGCCCCCAGGGCAGCTCGAGCAAGAAACACCAGCACGAGCATCAAATGCTCGGAGGCCCGCGCGGGTTTCTTTCAGGAGGGGGAACAAACACACAGACACCATGAATCATCGATTCCCACGAAGATATTCGAAAACATGGGAATTGGGGGGGAAGACAAGAAGCCAGAACATATGGGAAAATATAGGGAATATCTTTACTTGTGTGTATGTATTTCTTTGTGTGTCCTGGGGCCCCTTTCATTCTTGGAGGTGCGCTCGGCCCGCCTGGCGGCGCCTTCTGCACCGCCCTTGGCGCGCTCCGCGCGCCGGAGAGAGAGGGGGGGGGGTCCCGCCGGCCCAGGGAAGACGTGTACGGGCCTCCGGCAGGGAACTTGTTTGCGCCTGCCTTGTTTGTAAGGGTCCGAGACCTCGATTGGGGCGCGGAAAACAACAAAACACGCCGTCGGATATATATATATATATATATATATATATATATATACATGTATATATATATATACACATATATGGATATATAGATATAGATTGGGGGGGAGGGGCGCGGGGGGATGCCGTCACGGGGGAGGCGGGTGCCGAGGGAGACGGGTCCCGAGGTCTTTCCCCGTTGGCGGGCCCTCGGGGCTCTCCACAGGCCCCGGGACTGTCCGAAGACGAGTCAGAATGAAGACTTCGTCCTGCAGGGAAGGTCCCGGAGTCCAGGACCTGTTTTTCCCAGGACCCGTTTCCCCCGTTCGAGTCCCTCCTGTGCTAATGTGAAGTCGGGCATGTGTCCGTCTACAGGAGAAGCAGTCAAACCATGGGGGGCGATGTTCCTGCCATTTGGGTCTATTTCGGAGCATGTGTTGGCTATTGCTCCCTTTTGTCTCAAGATCCGCCTGTAGGAGGGCCTGCCCGACCGACTGCGCAGGGTGCCCGCAAGCCACCACCACCGGGGCCTGGGTCCCCGGCCGGCCCGGGCCCGTGGCGCGGGATGTTTCGCGCGGCCCTGGGCCCAGGCTGAGGGGGGGCGGGCTCTGGTGTTTTCGAACTCGGTGCCGAACACAGGGCCGCCGACGTCTCCGAGACGGGTGGGGGGGAGGGGGAGGAGGAGGAGGAGGAGGAGGAGGAGGAGGAGGAGGAGGGGGAGGAGGAGGAGGAGGAGGAGGGGGAGGAGGAGGGGGAGGAGGAGGAGGAGGAGGAGGAGGAGGAGCAGGAGGAGGAGGAGGAACTGCGGGGCAGACATGGGCGCTGCCCAGCGCTCCTGGCCTCAGGTCGGGCACGTCCTCCCACGGGCAGAGCTTGGAAGAAACGGCCTGGCCAGACAGCGGCGGCTGCGCCAGGGAACGAAACGCTCACGACGGGAGACTGTTCGCTAACTTCGGCCTCCAGGGGCCTCTTCTACCGTGCCCCGGGATCGTCGACAAAAACGGCTCAGGATAGAAGACCGGTCCTGGGAAAGGGGTCCAGGCCTCTGGTTACGTTGCATCTTCGGGGGAATTGGCCTGTGCCCAAAATCGGTGCCTTCTCTTTGCCCGACGCGGGCTCGATGAGGACTGGACGCGGATTTGGCGTGGATTCGACGCGGATTCGACACGGATTCGACACGGATTCGACACGGATCCGATGAGTCCGACATGGATCCGAGACGGATTCGACGCGGATAGGTACACGACGGGACCGGCAAGGTCTCTCGAGGATGCAACATACTTTGGGGGCGACGTTTTGAAAAATCGCGATGTCGGGGGTTTGGGGAGCTTTACCACAGAGAATCGAGTTCTCCCCCCCCCTCCCTCTGCCTTCCTGCCCTTTCCAATCCGTCCTCACCTGCTGCACCCCTGACTGCTGCACTCCTATTTGCCAATGTACCACATCTCCACACCCCGCAGCCCCCTCGCTCTGGGGCAACACCTTGTCCCCCGTTCCCCCCCTGCGGTCCAACCTCCTCCCCCTCCTCCTCCTCCTCCTCATCCTCCTCCTCCGCCTCCTCCTCCTCTGCGGCTGCGACGGAAAAAGAGTAACCCCACCAGCCCATCCAGAAACGATGCCCAGAGGAACTGCCTCGATCAGGGAAGTGGGCAGCACACAGAAGAAGGGCCGCCCCGTGGAGGCCTCTTGGAGCGTCTTGGGTGCCTCGGAGAGCGTCTCTTGGGAGCATCTTGGAGGCCTCTTGGGCGCCTGTTGGGGCCTCCTGGGCGCCTCGTGGGGCCCTCTTGAAGCGCTCTTGGGAGCCTTGGGAGCGCTCTTGGGGCCATCTTGGAGGACATCGCTCAAACAAGCAGCGAGCATTAGTTAGCGTTGCCCCTCGGGAGCCCAACAAATCACCACTTGGGGCGCTCTTGGGGCGCTCTTGGAGCGCTCTTAGGCGCTCTTGGGGCCGTCTTGGGGCTATCTTGAGCCTCTCTTGGGGCCATCTTGGAGCCATCTTGAGGTCTCGGATGGCCATCGGAAGCGACACGTTGAGAACGCCAAACACAGATGTTCCTAAGGTTTGGGCCTCTTCGGGGCCTCCTGAAGGAGCTCTTTGGCCACTTGGAGCCGCCTTGGAGCGGTCTTGTGGCATCTTGGAGCATCGTGGGGGCCATTCTGAGACATCTTGGGATATCTTGAGCCATCTTGGAGGTCATCTTGGGCTCTTCCAGGCGCTCTTGGAGTCATCTTAATCGGTGCCCCCCCCCCACGAGGCCAACATGTGGCTAACACATTATCAATGATTTGGCATTCTCGCCGAGGCCTCTTGGAGCATCTTGGGTGCCTCTGGGGGGGTCTCTTGGGACCTCTTGGAGGTCTCTTGGGAGCCTATTGGTGGCATCCTTGGGGCCTTTTAGGGCTTCCTGGCCACCTCTTGGAGCCCTCTTGGGGCACCCTTGGGAGCCGTGGGGGCCATCATTGGGCCATCTTGGGTGAGATCGATCACAGGAGGGGGGGTCCCTAGTAAGGGCCCCCTCCTCGGGAGGCCAAAATGGGGCCAAACCCTTCTAGTAAAACCGATGGGTTTGGCTTCCTCGCCGAAGCCGTTTTGGACGCTCCGACGACTCGCGGAACCCCTTGTCCAGGTCCAGGGGAGGGGGTCGGGGGAGGGGTCAAGACGCTTTCCCCGCCCGCAAGCCGTCTCGCTCATTCCCACCCGCCCTCCCAGCACATACGTAGCACCCGAGCTTGGCCCGAGCCGCAGCATATGCAGCAGTCGTTGTTGGATGGGCAGCTACTGGGGGCGCATCCGCCACCGCCGCCTCCGCCGCCGCCCCCGCCGCCCGCCACCGCCGCCGCCGCCGCGCCGCCGCCGCCGCGCCGCCGCCGCCGCCGCCGCCGCCGCCGCCGCTGCCCGCGCCGCTGCCATTACCGCCCCGCCGCCGCCCGCCCGAAGCCGCAGCCGCTGCCGCGCAGCCGCTGCCGCCACCGCTGCCCCGCCGCCCCCGCCGCCGCCCCTGCCCCCGCCGCCGCCACCGCCGCCGCCACCGCCGCAGCCGCCGCAGCCGCTGCCCCCGCCGCAGCCGCCGCCGCCGCCGCAGCCGAGTGTATTCTGTACTGTCGTTTGACAGGGATGGTGGGGGGAGGCCACATCGGGTTCGCTGCGCATGCTCCGAATTTGGAAGCAGAGTGTGTGTGTTTGCGTTTTTAATATCAAGGGATGGTGGGGGCCCTCATCGACTCGGGTTGGCTCCTAGTCGCCTGGGGGAGGGGGTGGATACTAATAGGGGGTGGAAACACCTCCCCGAAGGGGAAGAAGGAGGGGTGGAAGAGGAACCGCCCTAAACCACCGACGCCCAGAGGGCTGATGGGATTAGTTTCCCGCCAATGCGCGCCGTGCTGAATAATGATGGACGGTTATTTCTCACATCGGACCTTCTTGGGCTACCACCCGCGCGAAAGGAATTTCGGCCTTGTTCGTAGGAAGGCTTGCACCAATAATCGTAGTATCGGAGGAGGAGGAGGCGGAAGAGGAGGGACAGCTCCCCTCGCTGTCCCCACCCTGGTGGTGCCCCCCCTCCCTGGGCACTGCCTGCCCTTTCCGATCGGGGACCACCTCTTCCCTCCCAGGGACCCCGTGAGGGATCAAAGGGAAGGAGCGACCATTCGATTCGATTGCGACATTGCTAGATTTTCTTGTCGTTGACAGGCTTGACGGATGTCAGGGTCGGCGAATGTCGGCTAGGCCATAGAAGGATTGTGGTTTCTTGGGCGGCACCAGCGGAGCACGACTCGAACGGAACCCCTCACACGCCCCGACAGGGTCCGTGGATTCCGTCTCCCAGCGAAGGCAGCACCGTTACAGAACGAATGGAGACGAATGACAACAATATGGACACGATAGCGAACAACCATTCGTCACAGTGGACGCCCATGCCAAGTAACACCCCGCTTACCCGATAAGGATATTTAGTTTTGAAGGCCCCCCCAAACGCTCTCGACGGTGAATCAACCTTCCTCCCGCCCTCCTCCTCACGCCCTCCTCCTCCTCCTCCTCCTTCTCCTCCTCCTCATAACGTTACTCCTCCTCCTCCTCCTCCACGCGAAAGGAATTTCGAGCTTGTTCGTAGGAAGGCTTGCAATCATAATCGATGCGTCGGAGGAGGAAGAGGAGGAGGAAAAAGATGAGGACGAGGACATTGAACCCCCCTGGTCGCCGTAAGGGAGGGCGTGGTTGGAGGATGAGGAGGATCATGAGGAGGAACATGATGAGGATGAGAGGGAGGCGGGGGAACATAACGAGGAGGAACATAACGAGGAGGAAACTCATGAGGATGAGAACGGGGGAGGGGGAAGACGAAGAGGAGGAGGAGGAGGAGGAGTGGGGAGGAGGAGGAGGAGGAGGAGGAGGAGGAGGAGAATGAGGAGATGGGAAGGAGGAGGAGGAGGAGGAATTAGTTTCCCACTGATGCTCGCCGTGCTGAATAATGGTGGACGGTTATTTCCCCCATCGGACAATGCCTCCTGGGCCACCCTCCACGCGAAAGGAAGTTCGACTTTGTTCGTAGCAGGGCTTGCATTACGAACTTTCGTATCGGAGGAGGAGGAGAAGGAGGAGGAGGAGGAAGAAAAGAGCAAGGATAATGAGGAGGAGGGACGCGGAGCTTCAGAGCAATGAGTTTCCGAGCAATGAGAGTTTCAGAGCAATGATTTCAAAGCAATGAGCCTTTGAGAGTTTCCTTTTCTTCCTCTTCCTCTTCCTCCTCCTCCTCCTCCTCCTCCTCCTCCTCCTCTTATGGTTGGAGCTCATGGTGTTCGCATCGCATCCTCCTTTTCATCCTCGTCCTCGTCGTCGTCGTTTGTGTCGTCGTCAGCGGCGGCGGCGGGGAGCAATAAGTAGTTTCCGTTGTTGTCGGGGCCCCAGTCCGTCAATAAGGCCGCCAGAAAATATGTAGTTTTCCACTGTTGTGGGGAGGGGGGCGGTCACCTCCTGTGGTTTGCACCTCACGTTCGTAGAACATGTCTGACTGGACCGTTTTGACTCGACACATCGGCTCCCCACGCTCTACGACCATTGCTTCTGTTCTTAGAACATTTACCTGTTCGGAAAACATGTCGTGGCAGGGTTACAGGAATGCCGGGACGGTCGGTCCCTGCTCCACAGGACGTTCTACGACATCCTGGAGGTGTCCCGGAAGGCGAGGCCGGAGGAGGTCTCGGGGCGCGCGCAACCCAGACTTCGAGGCCTCCCAGATGGGGTTGGAGTGCCCAGACCCCCCCCCCCCGGGTTGTGAAACAACGGCGGGCGGTTTCCCCTATGTTCTGCTTCGGGGGGCCCCTTTACCGGGCTCTGGACCGTCAGAACAAACGTCGTTCCCAGGCCGTCGTAAAAGAATTGGTCCTGGGGAAGGGTACTGGGCCACATGCGAACCCTACCCCTACCCTCCACGATTTCGGAGGGGGAGGGTGGGGTTCACTTCGTTCGGGAGCTCTCGAGCGAAGTGAACCCCACCCTCCCCCTCCGAAATCGTGGGGGGTGGGGGTATGGTTCGCATGTGGCCCCCCAAAGGGGTCCAGACCTCTTGGGGTAGACGTTGTGAACAAGTCGCGGCGCCGGGGGTCCTGTGAGCCCGGACCTCGAGGCCACCCAGATGGGGCCGGAAGGGATGGCTTCGTCGGAGCGGGCCGCACTGGCGACGCACCATCCCCGATGCATCGGCGATGCGGCTCGATGTGATGCCCGATGTTCTCCACGCCGACGGCGCCGGCGCATCGCCGCCGTCGCCGGTGCCTCGGTGGTACATCGCCGAGGCATCGCCGGTGTTCGTGAGAGGGCGCGCGTGAGATGAAATGTTTCGGTGGGTTTTGGGTGGCTTCACCTGCACTGAGGGAAGGGGGGGTGGGCGTGGCGAGGCCCGAAAGGGAATCTCCACTTCACGCCAGCTGGGACTCTCTTTGCACGCCTCGTCGGGCCAGCGTCGCTTGGAAGAGCGGGGGAGGGAGGGTGGGGGAAGAGGGGGGGATGCCGTGCAAGTCAATGTGTCTGAATCTGAGGAACAACTCCCTCACGCAACCCAGACCCCCCTCGGGACATGACAAAGGCGTGACGCGCGGCTTTTGGCAGCTTTCGGCCTCCTGGGGCCCTTACCGGGCCTCGGGACTGCCAACAGCGGTACAGGATGAAAAGCCCGTTTTGGGAAAGGGTCCGAACCTCTTTCAGGAGGGGAAAAAACACACAGACATAATTAATCGTCGACTCCCCGGAAAAGATGGGAAAATATGGGAAGGTGGGGGGAAGACGAAAACCCTGATAATATGGGAAAATATGGGGACTATGTTTATTTGTGTGTATTTATTTGTGTGTCCAGGGGCCCCTTCAAGGACACGCGGGAGGACACAAGACCCTTCCGGCCCTTCCGGCGGCCACATTGCCGTAGGAATGCAGGAGGCACGGGTCGCGAGGCACAGGGCAAAAAGGTACCCTTGATTTGGCAGGGTCGACCTACTAATCCGGGCCGTCTGTAGGGAAAGGGGGGGCGTACGACATCTGCTGCTTGCAGCTGGTTTCCGCCCCGCAGTCTGGCGCCAGTCCTCGATGCGCGGGCGCCTCCTGGCGCCAGGAGGCGCCTGGACAGCCGGCGACGCGAGTTGAAGATCTACCTTACCTTGTTCGAGTGGGGGATCGACAACAGAAGTTATCTACCCCCAACATGATTTTCTCGTCGATCATCCAAACACGACGCAGAATGCTCCGTTCGATTTCGAAGAGGGAAGCAAGTTTGGGGTAAATCAACCCTATCGGCGATGCGGCTCGATGCGGAGCCCGATTTCCTCCACGCCGACGTCGGCGATGCATCACCGACGTCGCCGACGCATCACCGATGCATCGCCGATGCAACGGCACGATCCTCCGACTGCATCCACTCGCACCCCATATGACCTACCCTTTCGTCCCCCCTGGGGCCTGGGAGCGGGGTTCAACGCACACGGGGCTCCGCCAGAGCGCCGGTCCCTGCAGGATCCTGCAACGCCGGCGTTTGGCTGGCCAGGCTTTGGCGCCGCTCGAGGGCCCTGCACATACAGTTGCGCCGGATTTTCCAGGAAGCTCCCAACAAAGTACATCGCAGGCGATGTTGTCCCCCCCCATCCCAGAGCTCCGCCTGAGAAGTCTGGCCGTTCAGAAGAGGGGGGGAACTCTGGGGTACACCCCCGGAGGGCCAGTCGGACGCACCCCTCTCGAGGATGGAAGCCCACCATTCTACATCCCAGGATTGGGCCCCACATGGTTTGTCCAGTTGCAACACCCCCCCAAACTCGGGGATTGGGGTCGACGTATCCTCCGCTGTTGCAGCGCACCTGCTCTACATTGGGCAAGTGGGGTTTGCGCAGAGCCTGGCTACAGTCCACCCGCGTAGTAAGGATGAACGGCTTTCCGTGGGCGCTTTGGCTGGCCGCGCCCCGCCCGCAAAGTGCCGACGTGGCCTTCCAAGGCCCTTGCATGCGCATCGTGCGATCTGATGATACAGCCAAGACGCTGAGATAAGGAACAGTTTGGATTCAGAGGGGGCTCGATGTTCCGTACGTCCTTCCGTGGTTGTTCCTGTAGCCTTCCTCGTGCGCCCGGGCTCTTGTGAAGCCGCAGAGGGGCTTCGTTCCTCAACTGGCGCTCCCTATTTCGGTAGCCCGACTGCACGGGTTGACTGTCATCCACGCCCGAAGGTCAAGGAGGCCTACAGGCGGCTGGCCAAGAAGTACCACCCCGACAGGAACGCGGACGACCCGGAGGCCGAGAACCGCTTCAAGGAGGTGCAGGAGGCCCACGCCACGCTCAGCGACCAGTGGAAGAAGGCCCTGTACGACCAGGACCGCTCGGATGCAGCTCCTGGGAGGTCGAATTCTGATTCAGCCCTGGTCCGACATCCGGCTAAATCCCGCTTCATCCTGCTTAATCCGGCTAAATCCCGCTTCATCCCGCTTAATCCGGCTGGATCCCGCTTAATCCCGCAAAATCCCGCTTAATCTCGCTTAATCCGGCTTCATCCCGCGGGATCCGAGGCCCACTCTGGCGTAAGAGCCTCTGAATTCGGAGGTGGACAGACCTCCTACCCTGACACGTCGATTGAGGAATTGGCCGTTTTCGGTTCGCGAGAGGGCGTCGCGGCCGTCACTCTTGCGGGTCCAGGTCCGTCGGTTTCGTCCCAGGCCGTTTTCACTAAGGGGAGGTTTACTAAAGGGAGGTTTGTCCACCGCCGATTAATCACGCTTAATCCGGCAAAATCCCGCTTAATCCGGCTTCATCCCGCGTGATCCGAGGCCCACTTTGGCGCAACAGACCCCAAGAGGGCTTAATCCTTTTTAATCTTTCCGACGAAAACCTCCCGGTAGTTGCTTCCTAAGGATCGAATACGGTCGGACCGAGGTTCGTAGCACCAGCGCTGGGCGGGCGAGGGGTGGGTCGCGGGGGGTGCGCGAGTTGGTGCGCGGGGTGGGTCGCGGGGGGGGTCGCGGGGGGGGTCGCGGGCGAGGATGACGCCAACAACGGCATGAGCAAGCGGAGTCCGTGCCGCGGAATCCTACTTGAGCCACGCACCCCAGGGACGGCGTAATACCGCTTAGCCCCCTCACTTTGACAAGATCGAGGTCGGCTAGGAGAGGGTACAGACGCGCCCAGAAAGCCAAGACCAGAAACATCAGATGCGCCAGCGTCCGCGCGTGCATCTGGCGCGTGGACTCCTCACGCCGAGCATGTGAATCCAGCCCGGTGAGTTTCCAGCTCCACGGCTCAATCTGCACGTATCTCGCGAATCGAACTCTTTCCTGGGTTCTCACAAATGCAGTTCCTGCATTGTCGCCCCACGCATAGAATCTCTCCGCAGCCCTCCCGCAAACAGAACCTTTATTTCGCCCCCCAAGAAAGCGAGTCTCTTCTTGGGGCTCCCACGAATGGGACGTTGATATACCTTGGCAGTTCTGGCTAATCCAGGTTCATTCGGGTTCGTTCTGGATAGTTGTGGGTACCTCGTGCTAAGTATGGTCATTTCTGTGCCATTATGGTTCATTATGGTCCATTCGTGGGATAGCGTCTCTTCTGGTTAATTGTGGTAAATTCTGGTTAGGGCTAGTCTCGGCTCTTTCTGGTTAATCAGGGTCAATTGTGGTCGGTCTGGGCTAATGGTTAATTCTGGTTGTGGCTAATCATGAACAATGCTAGTTACAAGCCATGATTGCACATGTTGCTCTTGCCTCAGCGCGGGCCACACCCACGATTACGAGGGTCAATCTCGCTTTAGCGCCGGCCACATCCACAATTGCGAAAGGTGTTCTCGCCCCAGCGCCGGCAACATCCATGATTGAGAACGTTGTTCAACTCTGGTTAAGTATGATGATGCTGATGAGGAGAAGGAGGAGGTGGTTGAGGAGGAGGTGGAGGAGGAGCAGCAGCAGAAGCAACAGCAGCAGCAACCGGCGAGGAGGGAAGGGAGGAGGGATGACGAGGCTGCTTGAATGCTTGACTACATGGGGTAGGGCCTCACCTCCCAAGAGCGCACGTTCACCTACCACACAGCAGGCTCTTCGGCGAAACTTGGTTAAGTATGGTTGAGATTGGTTGATTATGATAATGTTTGATTTTTATGGTTAGTTCTCAGAAGTAGCCAGAATGATTCAACATTGAGTTGTTGTTAATTTGGTTAGCAATGTTGAAATCAGGCTAATTCAGGTGAGTTATGGCTAATTGTGGTTATCTCTTGCTAGTTTGAGTTCATTCTGGAAAAGCGCATCGAGGATTGGGTCGTCGAGCGAATTTACTTCAGAACATGCTGGAACATTTGGGAGAGGCCTTGATACATGGAACAACATGCAATTTGAAAGAACAGTGGCGCATGTTGTGCAGAGTCCCCGCCGTAATTGACGTTGTGCATTCCGGAACCTACAGCCGTAACATACGTTTTTTGAAGTTTCCAGTTTGGGTTTCTTGGTCGGACCCACATCCTAGTTTGTCGTGTGTATTTGTACATCCTGGGGGGTATCCTCGGTGATCTTATGGTTTAGGGGTGTGTTGGCTGGCAGAGTGTCTCATGCTCTTGAACGATGTTGGTATGTCCTTGGTCCGGCTGTAAGAACACATTGCGTAGACATAAACGGTCGGAGGTCCCGCATATTTCTTGGATCGGCGCTGGGCCCCCTTGTCGGCGCCTCCTGCGCCCCCGCTAGCGCGCTCAGCACGCCAGGGAGTGGGGTGCAGCGCAGATCCAAGAAATCCGAGCGGTTCTGCAAACATTGATTCCCCAACAGCGTCGTGCTAAAGGGTCCTAAAGTGGTAAACATCAAACAGAAGAGCCTGACAGGGCTGACGGGGAGCCCGAGGACGCCTTGTTTGGCAGACCTTCCGCTTGAGAGTCCTTAACAATTTATTGCTAACCCCCTACGACCGGCGCCGCCCGCTCTGGATGACCACCCCCGCGATGTAAGAGGCGTTCAGGCAAGTTATGATCAGACGCTCCCAAGAGTGCTCAAGAGGTTACACGAAGCGGTGCCTAAAACCCCCCACAGAGGTTTTGGGTTGTTTGGGGAGCCTTTGGGGAGCCTCCTAGGGTTTCCTGGCATTCCTTGGGGGCGCCTGGGGGCCTCGTGAGGGCCTCTGGGGGGCTCAGGACCCCCTGGGGGATTGGCATTCTGACCCGAGAACCCCCCTGCACTACCCCTCCCGGGCCCGCCCCCCCGGCGGGGAAGAGCTCTTGAAGAAGGGATTCCCCCTCGACTCAACTACGACGTTGCTTTGGCTGTTTTGCCTTGGCTGCCACGTTTAAGGAGGGGGACACAGATGTTTCTTGCAGGCTTTTTGGAGCGCTCTCGGGGGCCTTTGGGGGCAGTTTTGGGGGTGTCTTGGGAGCCTTCGGGAGCCTCCTGGGGCTTCCTGGCGGTTCCTTGGGAACACTTGCCATTCGGGGGCCTTGTGGGGGCTTCTGGGCGGCCTCTTGGGCCAAAGAGATGGTACTCTGACCCGGGACCATCTTCCGGGAACCCCCTCGGACCCCCCTCCCGAAGAGGGGAAGGGATCCAAGGGCAGGCGATTCTGTCTTCTCGACTCAGTTGCGACGTTGTCAGATTTCGCTTAGGCTGTTCCGCGTCGGCTGACGCGCTTAAGGAGGCGGGACCAGGGACGAGGGGGGAGGGGTGCCGGCGACGACGACGACAACGACGACGAGTCAAACGAAACAGCCTCTCCCACGCGCCGACAGGTGTGGCGGGTTCTGGAATCGCTCTCTCGCCTCAATGTTGGCGGCACCTTTTGTTTGGACGGCCACGCGCCCTTGTAATTTGTGCGGACGGCCGGGCGCCTTTGAAAACAGATGCTGCTATTTGGGTGCGAGGCGGGGGTCCTCTTCGTGCAGGGCTGGACCTAATGGCTGGTTTGCTGGACTTCGGCTGTGCTTTGTTTTTCGTTGTGGCAGGGAGGGACAGGAAAACAGGTCGAGCGAAACGAGCCACAAAACGAGCACGTAACGAACCACAACGTTCAGGTCCAGCCCTGTCTTCGTGTCCTTGTGCTCTCCCTCTGCAGGACCTGCAGTTCAGCAAGTTCGGGTCCGCGGCCGTGACGGACGTGGACAAGGAGCAGTGGACGGAGCACTGGGACAAGGAGACCGAGGAGGAGCGAGAGGCTCGCAGGGAGCGCTACAAGCGCTATGCCGCGGGGGAGCGCAACGACCTGCCGCCAGACCCGTTCCCCCTGCGGCTGACGCCCGTGATCTTCCTCGGCATCGTGGCCGGCGTCTTCTACGTCTGCATACGGGCGCCCGACTGGTTCGACCTCCAGAGCGAGGCCACGTTCTGCGACCCCGCGTACGACGACAAGACCGTGCCGCTGGTCCCCGGCGGCGCGCAGCGAGGGGCCGAGGGGTTCGGGGGTTCGGGTGGTCGGACGGACCTCCACGAGAGGGTTTCCCGCCTTCCTCCCAGGTGCATGCAGCTCGGTCGCTCTCTCTCTCTCTCTCTCTCGCTCCCTCTTCTTCTTCTTCCTCTTCTTCTTCTTATGATTATTATTCGTCTTCTTCTTTTTTTGTTTCTCTCTCTCTCTCTCTCTTTTTCTCTCTCTCTCTCTCTGCAAGCCCGCCGGTAAAAGCAGGTCGACTAAGCGCGGGCCCAGGCCCAGATCCCCCCCCCCACACACACACCTTCGGCCAGATGCCGAAACCCAGAATCAAACCATGCCTGCCAACGTGGGCCCCTGGAGATCTGGGCACCCTGGAGAGCTGGACCAGAATTTTTCATCCTGGGTTGTTTGTTGACAGCCCTAGGTCAGGAGGGGAAAAAACACACAGACACAATTAATCGGCGATTCCCCAGAAAATATGGGAAAATATGGGAAGTGGTTGGGAAGACAGAAACCCAGAAAATATGGGAAAATATGGGGGATATTTTTATTTGTGTGTATTTATTTGTGTGTTCCAGTTCCCCTTCACTAGGGCCTGGCGAGGGCCCCGCAGAGGCAGGAAGCCCGAAATACCGTCCAGCACGGCTGCTCGTCGGGACCCCCGCGTGCCTGGGCAGCTCTCCATGTTGGGCAGCTCCCTCCGTCCTCGCCGAGAGCTCCCCTGGTGCATTTCCTGCGCAAAGTTAGGGAGCGATGGGCTCCTGGGGGGCGGGGGGATGCATGGACCCAGCATCGCGAATTGACCCGTTGATGGCCGATGGGGAGCCCGAGAGCCCCACCCCGCCCAGAAGCGCGCGCCTCTTTGCCGTCGGGGGCCTGCCGCCGATCCATCGGCGGTGCATCGACGATTCCAGGTCGATGTATGCCCACATGAATCAGGAGAGGAGAAAACACACAGACACAATTAATCGTCGATTTCCCAGAAAATATGGGGAAATATGGGAAGTGGGGGGGAAGACAAAACCCTAGAAAATATGGGAAAATATGGGGAATCTTTTTATTTGTGTGTATTTATTTGTGTGTTCCAGTTCCCCTTCAATGAACTTCTCGTTTGTTGATCGTGCCCCTCGGCCTTGTCCGGTGCGGTGAGCGCATGCCCCCGCTCGCCCTGGGCCCCCTCGCGGGCGCGCTCCGCCGAGGTCCGCGCCTTCCACGACCCCGTGCTGAACCGCTGGGAGCGGCTGCCCGAGGGCGCGGCTCCGCCGAGCCCGGCGGAGCTGTACGCGTACTACCGGAAGCGGAGGCCGGACCTGATGGAGGCTCGGGGTCCCCCCGTAGACGGTGCTGTGAGCGCTTAGGCCTCCCAGATGGGGTCGGAGCAGACGGGGTGAGAGGTTCGCGCCGCATCGCCGTGCATCGGCGACGCATCAGCGATGCGCCTCAATGTTGGGCCCAATGTTCTCCACGCCGGCGTCGCGGATGCATCGCTGACGTCGCCAGTGCATTGCCGTTGCATCGCCGATTCATCGGCTGTGCATCGTCGATGTATCGGCGATGTCGTGAGATTCTCCGACCTCGTCTACTCGGACCCCATTCAGGAGGTCTCTATTATCTTCTGCCGCATAGCGGTGATTTCGCTCCCCGCCCCCAGGGTAACAGCAATGACTGTACGTAAGGGGGTGCCCTGGACTCCCCCCCCCACATGCTGGTGCTCACGCACATACTATGGCGATCGCAGCGCACTCCCGCCCCGACGTAGCCCAGACCGCCTAAGGTTGCTTGTTAAGTACCCGGGACCCCAACCCCCTCTCCCACGGAAACCCAGGCGTCCTTCAAACGCTACGGTGACCACACCTTGAATAAGAAGTCACGGCAGTTGCCGCACGTCTCGCGTTGCATGTACGTATGTCGGGGGATAGCGTCGCATTCCAATATCGATCAATAGCAACAAATAGCGCCCAGTAGCGCCGAATAGCCCGCGCGGTCTTGAGACTTGGGTTGCTCTCCGAGGACGCCTCGGGAGACCTGGGCCTCCAGGGCCTCCAAACCATGCGGTAACGGACAGTGCGGTGAGTGAGGTATTTGGGGAGTTTATGTTGCCTCACGGTCGGTCACCACACCGTACAGTGGAGGCCCATGCGAAGAAGCACTCTGCTTGCCTCCAGGGTGCCCTTGGTTTCTCGGGTGTCGATGGTGTTGGTGTGGAAGGCGTGACGTCCCCGCACCAAAAATCCACGGACGTCCTGGGGTCTCAGGATTGTTTTTTTGTGGAAGGTTTCTTGTGGACTGGCCTCCAACGGACAGTGTTCAACGTTGCCTCACGGTCTACCACCACACCAGATGGGGCCTTCCTCCTCCTCCTCCTCCTCTTCCTCCTCCTCGTCCCTCCTCATCCTCGTCCCTACTCCTCCTCCTTTTCCTCCTCCTCTTCTTCCTCCTTCTCCTTCTCCGCATCCTCCTCCTCCGCCTCCTCCTCGTCCCTCCTCCTTGTCCCTCCTCCTCCTCCTCCTCCTTCTCCTCATCCTCCTTCTTTTCCTCCTCCACCCCCGAGAGGCGCTGGACCTGCGGCTGCTGCCCAAGCTCAGCCTCACCATCCTGCAGGTGCCGCGCACCGACACGGTCAAGCCGTCCCCGCGGCCGCAGGCGGCCTGAGGGCACCGTCGCGCCCTTGCCGAGCGGCGTGCTGCTGCCAGAGGCAGTGGTGGCAGGGATCTGGAGGAGGAGGAGGAGGAGGAGGAAGAGGAGGAGAGGGAGGAGGCGGCTGAGGAGGAGGAGGAGGAGGAGGAGGAGGAGGAGGAAGAGGCGGAGGAGGAGGCGGAGGAGGAGGAGGAGGAGGAGGAGGAGGAGGATAAGAAGATATTGATGCCGCTACCCTTGCCGCCTGGTTTCCGCCTTTTGAGGGGGGGGGGAGGGCTCCCGGGAGGCCCTCGTCGCCGCGGCAAGTTGCGCCTCGAAAAAATATGGTGCGAGCGCGTATTGGGAGAGGTTGTGGGGGTAGCCAGCGGTATCGTCTTTGTAGTTTCCCCCCAGGGAGGAGGATAAGGAGGGAGCAGGAGAACAAGAGAGAGGGGGAGGAAGGGGGAAAGACACAACATGAAGGAACAAGGAGGAGGAGGAAATATACAACATGAAGGCAGTGGCGGAGGACGTGAAGAAGGAGGAGAAGGAGGACAACGGAAGAGGATAAGGAGCTGAAGGATGAGAGGAAGAGGAAGGGAAGCTGGGAGTGATTGGGGAGAGGAGGATACAGAACATTGCGTTCGTGGGGTGCGCGGCGCTTCTGGGCTGTGGTCGTTTCGCAGAGGCGATGTAATAGCGCGCATGGAGATGACGCGGTTGCTTCGGAGCTTGTCGTATAGGGGTTCTGGCCTCTACTGTCTTCCCGCGGGCGTTTGTCTGCGCTCCCGGGCACCTCGTGGGGCCTCCTGGTCGCCTCTTGGGGCCGAGGGCTCGGCATTTCCGTCGAGGTCTCCCCCGTGGGTCCCCCTTCTGGGGGCCGTCCTGGGGCCCTTCTTGGGCGTCTGTAGGAGTCGTCTTGGGCCGAACTTGGAGCCAACCTGGACTGGCCTGGGGCCCCCTTCGGGGGCGGGTCTGCGGCCCCCCCTTGGGGCGGTCTCGGAGGTCTCTTGGGCTGTCCTGGAGCGTCGGGAAGCCGAGACGGCGAGAGCGCCCAAGTCCAACAACAACAACCAGAGGAACATCGATGAATTGTGCCTCGCGGGGCCCTCTCGGGGAGTGCTCTTGGAGGCCTCTTGGGCCGTCTGGGGGCCATCTTGGGCGTCCAGGAGCGACCTCATCGTGTCCCAGAGGCCCCTATAGGACCATCAAAAGGGCCTCGCGGGGGCCTCGGGGCCGCTCTTTGGAGCTCTTTGGAGGCCCTCTGAGGGCGGCGCCCAGGAGCAGAGCCGCCTCTGATCGGAGCTTGCCGGGGACCTGCCCGGGACCTGCTTGGGTTTCCTCGGCCGCGGACCCCCAGGGGCCACTCCGCGCGCGCGAACTAGACTTGTTGTGTACCAGTCATTGGAGATTTCACCACGCCTCTGGCCCGTTGGGCCGACGGATTAGAAGGAGGAATGTTACTAGAGATGGGGCGAGGAGGCGGGAGGGATCTAGGCGCGGTTGTAGTCTTGAGCTGTAGGTCTTGTCTGACCTTCGCACTCAGACGACCATTTCGGGCTCTGCCAGCCCCCGCCGAAAATGACTTACTGCGAGGGCGTTTTCCGTATGGGACAGCGCAGCAGCAAGTTTGGAAGCCACCAACGTTGAACATTGTAGCAATGAGAAGCCGCGGCATCATCACACCTAGGAATTCTGTTACATGCCCGCTTGCGACGCGATGGTGCACGCAGGTAGTTGTAGAACATGCCGTTGCCTGCGGGCAGCAAGTGTTGCGCCGCAGTGGATGAGGAGCAGGAATGAACAGCAGCAGCAGCAGTTGCAGCAGCAGCAGCAGCAGCATCAGGGATCTGCGACGGCGGGCCATTAACCACTGGTCGGTTTTGCTCCCTCCCGAGAGGGGTTCAGTGTTCTTTTATGGTCTTACAGTCTGTTTCAGACTTACCTGTGGAAAACGGGGGCCTCGTTCCTTGTTCCTGATTCCCCAGGGCAGAGGTTCGACTGTACCTGTTCCTTTGGAGGAGGAGGCGTGAGGAGGAGCAGGAGGAGGGAAGAGAGGAGGGTTGAGAGGAGGAGTGAGAGGAGAATGAGAGGAGGGAAGAGAAGGAGGAATGAGAGGAGGAATGAGAGGAGGAATGAAAGGAGGAATGAGAGGAGCAGGACGAGGAGGAGGAGGAGGAGGAGGAGGAGGAGGAGGGGGAGGAGGAGGAGGTGGAGGAGGAGGAGGGGGAGGAGGAGGAGGAGGAGGAGGACGACGGGGGAGGAGGCCCGAGCAGCGGCCCGCCGCCCAGAGAACAGGACCGGCACGCCGCGACGCCGCTGCACTTCGCCGCCGCCGCGGGCAACAAGGAGGTCGCCAGGAGGCTGCTGGCGAGGGGCGCCGACGTGCGCCGCCCTGCCGCGCGCCCCCACGTCTTGAGTCGGGCCTGTCCCTCTACAGGGGGGATCTTCAACAACACTCCAAACATAGACTGGGGACCGTTTTCCGGGAATCGTTAGTATTTGTTTTTGGTATTTTTTGATAATTGGGGAGCATGTTTTTAGTGAGTTGTATTGTTCGTCGAAGCTTCCCTTGTAGGGGGACACGCCCGACTTAACCCATGTCAGGAGCAACGATACGGCGGGATGGGCATACCGGTCAGAGGAGGAAGAGGAACCGATACCGCTGCCCTTCGCCCGTTTTCCCCTTTTCGGGCCTCTGTGGCCTCCGTCGTCGCCACTGCTGGATTCGCCTCGACATCCTGGTCAGAACGCACCCCGGGAGAGGTCCGGACGCGCAGATCTGGGCCAAGTGGGCGGAGCCCGCTTCGCGGAGTTACCCCATCATCCTGAGCCACATCAGGGCATTTGCAACCCACTCGTAAGTTGGGTTCGGTCAGACAAAACCCACTTGAGCATCCACATATAACCCCTTCAATCCCTTGGCAACCACCGGCTCGAGCTTAGTGGGCCCTGGATGCAACAGGGCCGTTCGGTAGCAAATCACGCAATTCTGTCTTTAGCGTCGATTGGCGTCTAGAGTCGATGATATACCGTTGATTGAGCGTCGGTTAGCGTCGATCAGTGTCGATTTAACGTCGATTTGTATCTAGAGTCGATGAGATAGCGCCGATTGAGCGTCGGCTAGCGTCGATTAAAGTCGATTTAGCGTCGATCAGCGTCGATTTAGCGTCGATTCGCAAGAGCCGACAAGATTGTATGGGAGTCTCCCATGAGTTGCCACAGAAATAGGGCCGTTTTTGTGACCGGTTCCGTTTTGCCGTTTTTGTTGTCGGTTTTTGTGTTCCTTTTGTTTTGTCTGGTTCCGTCGCCGTTTTTGTTGCCAGTTCCAATTCCAGGGAGTTGTTTTTGTTGCCGTTCGTTTGTTGTTATGTTTACCGTTTCCATGTTCAAGAGATATTTGTTCGGAAACGGTGAGACATTGCCCTGACGTTTCCGGGGCCCACTAAGGACTCGAATAGGCTGGAACTCGTGTATGCCGGCGCGTGTTGACGCACACGTTCTCCATTTTTGGGGCCAGTTGTCGTGGGATATTTGCAGCGAGAGCTCGTGTGAATTTTCGGAGTTGGTCTCGTAATTTTCCTGCTGGTCCCATCAGGCCAACCCGAGTCCCCCGAACCCGAGTCTTGCGTCTCTCCGATAGGGGGGCTGGGGCATCCAGAGCGTCTCGCGGTAGTTGTTGAGGCAGTATCGAGCGAGAAAGCTATCGTCGTCTTTGCTGGGGCGTTTCGCAAATTTGATCGAGTTGCGAGGGCGTCTCGGGCGAGAGCGCCATTCCTCATTGCGATACTGCATACGACCAGGGCGTCCCGGAGCACACTGTGAGGAACTATCGAGAGGGAGCCGATGTCGACATAGCTGGGCCTCCACTTCGCTCAGATGCGAGGAAGCCTCGAACTGAAGGGGGGCGGTTTTGTGGGTGTCGGATGTCTTCGGACGGTCTCTGCGATTTTCGTCGGCCTGCCAGCCTGTGGATGCCTTTTCAGCGGCTGCGGCTCGCCGGGAGCGCTCCCGGGGTGTCTCGAGTGTCCCGAACGGCTGCCGTGTCGACGCGGCGGCGACCCCGCCGCGGGCAGTCAAGGCTAAACGCCGCTAGCGGCCCAGAAATAGCCACTGTGGAGCAGTCTGGCGATCGACGAGCTGCCAATCGCTCCAGGGCTGAACGATCCATGCGGTCTCAGCAGCCGGCGTCTGGGCCGTCGCGACACGAGCCCGCCGTGCATTTGGGCCCGACCAGATTTGCCCTCGCCCCCACTCTTGACGAACTTTCTCGGGGCCCGACGGGCCCAGACCCCCCTGCTGCCTCCAATTCCCGCCCCCCCCCCACAGAGGCAGAGATGGGATCCATACCGCTTAACAGAGGCGGAGATGCGATCCATACTGCCTATACCTTTCCTTCGTTATCGCCGCCTCGGGCCTCCCTGGATGCCCTCGCCGCCACCGCTGGATTCCCCTCGAAATTCTGGTCAGCAAGGCATCCCGTGAGAGGAGTAGCGACATCGGTACCTGATGGTTTCCCCACCACAGCCCCAGCCCCCCCTCCATCGCTTGGGATGCAACTTTTGGGATGTCAAATTCTGATTTTGCACTGGTCCGAAGTCCGGCTTAGTCCCGCTTAATCCCGCTGAATCTGGCTTAATCCCGCTTAATCCGAGGCCCACTGCGGCGTAATAGCGCCTACATGGGGCTTAATCCTCCTGAATGTTTCCGACGAGCACCTCCGAGTAGTTGCCACCCCTCCATTGCGGCGAGGTCTGCAAGGAGGACCGCTGGAGCGTCACCCCCCTCCACAAGGCCGCGGGCAACGGCCAGGCGCCGCCGCAACCTTCCTGCCTGCCCGCCTCCGGGTCCTCCTGCTGCACCTCCTCCTCTAGCTGTATGATGTTCCAACCTACTTTAGCCTTGATCACCAGAACGTATCTCGAGCACCGAGCAAATACCGAAACTCGAGGGGTTTCACGTGTCGGGCCCTGGGAGACTTTCGCCCGACACTGTTTCGACACTCTTTCGACACTTTTCCAGGGGCTCGGAACTATTTCTGGGACGCGGTCCTGAAGTAGGATGGGAACAGCACAACTCTAGCCCTTCCCCGAGTCGACTCGATTCATGACGGCATGAGGGTGCCAGATGCCGATCCTCGCCAGCCATTCTTGTTCCCCCGATCCCTGGGTGCCGCGTGACAAGTTTGGCCGCGCAGAAAATCACCACCCACCAAACCACCCCAACCCAACCCGAAGGCTCAGATTTACCCTCGATTTCTAGTGGGGGGGGGTCCGGGAAACATCGAAAAAACACATGTGGAACCCTTACCCCCCCCAACCCGAAATTCGGGTCTTCGGGTTGGGTTGGGGTGGTCTGGTAGGTAGTCAAGTTTGGCCGCGCAGAAAAGAAAGGGAAACCTTGGGATACACCCCCAGGGGTTTCTCCGGGCGCACCTCCATCGAGGATGGACGCCCCTTTTTTTGCAGATCCCTAGGTTGGGCACCGCCCTGTTTGTCCGTTCGAAGACCCCACGGAACCTGGGGTAGGGGTCGACATATCCTCTGTCAGAGCCCAGAGAAAATATGAAGGACAGAAAAAGAGAGAGAGAGAGAGAGAGAGAGAGAGGCAGGCTCCTCTTCCCATCTCCTCCCCAGACCCCCGACGTCGCGTCTTTGTTCGCAACGTCGACTCCCAGAGGTCTGGACTCCTTCCCCGGAACAGGTGTTTCATCTTGAGTAGTTTTTGGACGGTCCCGGGGCCCAGGGAGGGCCCCCCCCGGAGAACGAAACTTGCGAGACATTTTCCGTCAATGTTTTTTCACAACGCGAGGGGGTTTGCTAGTATCGCCGCGGGTGGTACTAAGAGGATAAGGGTCTACAAGTGGATGCTAAGGTGGGTTCTACCCAGCGTAACCCATCTTCGGAGTGGGTTGCACGTGCCCTAAGTGGCTTAAGGGCGCACAGATCTGGGCTAAGATGGAGAAGCCCGCTTAGCGGAGTTGCCCTATCATCCTAAGCCACACCGGGTATTCGTAGTCCATTTATAGGTTGAGCTAGGCCAGACGAAGTCCGTTTAGCATCCACTTCTAATCCCTCCATCCCCTTAGCATCGAACGCGGCGATCAAAGCGAGTCCTCCTCCTCTCGGCAGGGCGTGGTGGTGGGACGCGCCCGCGACCCGCCCTCCCGTGCCGCCCCCTGGCAGCGCGAGGGCGGTCGGGAGCCCACAAGGCGGGGCGGGGCGGTGGCCGGACGCTTCCACCGCTAGGGTTGCGTCGGGCGAGTCCCTGCACAGGAGGACGGTTTTAAGTATAGTCAACAAATAATAGGGGGGGGCTTTTGCGATTCTTGTCTGACTACTGTTCTGCATTTTTGCTTGTTCGTTATTTTTCTTTCAAAATCCGCCTGTAGGAGGACATGCCCGACCTGAGGCTATGGCGAAGGCCTCACGGCCAGTGCCGCAGACCCTGAAGGCGGACGACGACGACGACGACAACGACAGCGACGATGCCTCGACGCCCGGAAGCGGAGGAGACGGGGCGGGCGGTGGGCGGGCGCTTCCACCGCTGTTCTGCACGTCTTGGTCGTTGCCCGTTCAGTGCTCTGAAGCTGCGACTCCTTGCGAACCATAGTTATGCCCACGCGGGTCCAATCGACGCCTGGGAATCGGACACCCCTGCTGGGGTTCCTTCGAATTCTGGGACCCACTGAGTTTTTTCGAAATCTGATTTGCTGAAGTAGGTTTCACACATGGTTGCTTCTCGAAAGAGGAGAAATTACACAAACGTCAATTTTCGACATTTCGCGCGGATTTTCTTGGATCGGCGCTGGAGCCCCCTGGCGGCGCCGCTGGCGCCCTCCCTGGCGCGCGCCAGGGAGTGGAGGTCCGGCGCAGATCCAAGAAATCTGCGCGAACCGTTGAATATGTCTGTTTATAATTTGTTTGTATTTATGGTCGTGGCTGGCTCCTTGCTGTTCTTGATTTTCTTTTTCTACTCCAGGCCTCCCAGGTGGGGTCAGAGTAGGTGGGGTCGGATATTCGCGCCGCAACACCGATACATCTGCGATGCGGCTCGATGTGGAGCCCGATTTTCTCCACGCCGGTGTCGGCGATGCACCGCCGACATCGCCGATGTAGTGCAAAACGTTGCATCACCGGGCGCGGACAATCATGCGCATCGCTTTTGTATCTGGCGTCCGTTCGTCCCCACCCCCATCTCCCCGATATTAATACATGTTGGGTTCGGTCTGGGCGAGTTGAAGCACCTGGGTGGTGCCGCATTCTGTCAGGAGCCCGTGGGTGGGGGGTCCACAGGCTCTTCTCCGTGCGCCCAAAATTATGCCGGGCGTGTCCCCCTACAGGGGGATTTTCGACGAAAAAAAACAAGAATACCCCGACATGGTCAACCAAATACCAGACAAATAGTCCCCATATTATGTTTTGACATTTTTTGACTAGTCCTGTTTTTTTTTTTTCGTCGAACATCCCCCTGTAGGGGGACAGGCCCGACTGAAACCCAAACTGAAGATCGGGGGGAAGGGGGGAAGAAGCAGTGCTGTCGAGTTGCCACTGCGCGGAAAGAGTGGTGCGGCATTTTGTCGATGTGCGGTATGGTGCGCGGTGGTCAGGGTACGACTCGGGTTCGAAGCAGGGTCGACTCGAATCGACTGGCGTTTGACGCAGCTTCGATGCACGGGTGGAGCGAGTGGATCCAGGAAGGCCCCCAGAATTCAGCCAAAACGCACCCAGCGATAGGGTTGGGGAGTGGCGGTATTGGTACCGTTTGGTTTCCCTAGAGGAGGAAGAGGAAGGGTTGAAGCGGAGGAGGAGCGAGGCGAATTAAGAGAGGAGGGAGCAGATGGCAAGGACGTGTTGCGGAAGCAGCAGCATCCACATGAGTAAGAGGCGGAAAGTCTAGAAGGAAGAGGAGGATCAGTTCGCGGCTGTCGGGCATTTGTCTACATCGCCCACGCGGATATGTTGGCTCAAGAGTCCCAGGTTGCCTTTGCCCGCGCGCGGGGAGGGGACGTCTGAATGGGCGCATGCGAGTAGAGATCGCTGGTTTCTCCGCCTTGGTCGGATCGGTCGAAGTATCAGCCTTGGCAGTGAGTTGCTGACAAATCAGAAAAGTTGTCTTGTGGGCCATGCCGAAGAACCTGAGCCTCTTCGGCGCGTATCTTTGGGCTTCGCCATCCGCCACTGGTATCCATACACTGGCGCAGTCGTACTCGCATGTGCTTCCTTCGCAAATCCGTTCGGGACGAGCTCAGTATGTACATATTTGAAATGCACATTTCACGGTGCTTGGTTCGAGATTGCAAATCATAATGTTTCAGGTGCCTTCGGCAAGTCCGCCACTGTGCTGGCCGTCACATGAGACACCCCTCGCGTACATGTCGTGCGGAGTTCTCCTCATGTGGTCTCTTTGGACCGTCTCGGGGCTGTCTTGCGCTTTTGCAGTGCAGTCTCGGGAGTCCATGGGGCCGTCTTGGGGCCCTCCCGGGGCATCTCGGGGCCCTATTGAGCCGTCTTGGGGCTCTTGTGGCCGCCTGGGGGTGTCGTGCAGCCGCCTAGGGGCCGTATGAGGCTGTCCTGTGTCCCTCTGGAATCTCTCTTGGGCCAGCTTGGGTCTCGATTGGGGCCGTCTTGGGCCGACCCCTCTGGGGACTCTCAGTAGGCCCTCTAGGGTCCTCCACGACTGCAAGTTTTGCAAGTGGACCGATCTTCGACCGAGGACAGCACAATGTAAACACTTAGGGGAACAATTTCTTGAGCCCCTCGAGGGCCTCCAGGAGAGCATCTTGGCGAGGTCTTCGAGCCTGTCGGAGGCATGATGGGAGCTTTTGGGTGCATCTTGAGGAGGCGTTGGTTCCTCTGGTTCGGATGCAACTCCTGGGAGGTCAGATTCTGATTTTGCCCTGGTCCGAAGTCCGGCTTAATCCGCTCTGCTCCCGCTTAGTCCGGCTTCCTCCCGCTTCATCCCGCTCAATCCGGCTTCGTCCCGCTGGGTCCGAGTGCTCACTCCGGCGTAACAGCCCCCCAATGTCGGGCGAAGAGAACTATGCACATGCACCGATCCTGGCAAGGCCCATCCTTGACCCAGAATCGGTGCATATGCCTTCCTGGCCAAGGTAGGAGGGCGTATGCACCGATCCTGGGCTCAGGATGGGCCTGGCCAGAATCGGTGCATGTGCACGGTCCTTTTTCCTCTACAATGGGGCTTCATCCTCCATAATCCTTCCGACGAAGACCTCCCCGCAGTTGCCTCCCAACTCTGGGCCGTCACGGTGGCCTGCCCGGGCCGTCCTGGAGGCCTCGCAGAGCTTTATCGGCCGACTCCCGGGGGAGGCGCCGGGCCGCCCAGAGGGCGCCTCGGGAGGGAGGGGGCGGTGCACGCAGCGGCGTGTGTCGGCAGGGAGTGGGTGTCCCTCCTCCTCCTCCTCCTCCTCCTTCTCCTCCTTGTCCCTCTTCTTCTCCTCCTCCTCCTCCTCCTCCTCCTCCTCCTCCTCCACGGAAACCAAAACACTTTCCAGGCAGCATGTTGTGTTCTCGATCTCTCGAGTACTATACAGAGTGGACGTACCCCAACATTGGTTCTTGCGTCGAATCTGCAAACCAACACGCACAACGTCCGTGCATTTATAAAGAGACCTCGACGTCTTTTCGAATCTTCGACGGGACTTTCAATTTTGGCGTACATCAATTGTGTAATCGATCCCTTACTCACATCTCGCATCGCCGTGCCCTGCCAGGGGGCACGGTGGCGGGTCAGTTCACACAGTCGAGGTCGGCGCGATTCGGTGTTCCTCGATCCCCCATCGCGTCTCACGGTTCGTGCGCGTCCGTATTCGCGAGGTGCGCGTGCGCGTGGCAGTGCCGTCAAAAGACGCCGCGTGAGATTGTCAGGTCTTTTCTTGATATGCCAAGGCAGCGCGGTCTTCACACGCAGGATCAAGGCCCATTTTACCACGAGAGGTGTCCTGTGATCCGTAGGTCCAGCAGTCTGTCTTCCTGTGGCGCCTGTCGTGCACCTGGGCGCAAGCGAGGACCAACAAGGGCTCCGTTCCTTCTCGGAGGTCAGTTATGGCAAGTTCGAGCCTACAACGACGGCTGAACGCGCAGCATGGGTTCATGCTGGCGCACCCCCCCCAATCTGCAGGGGTAGTACGTGTATACCGCTCCGCCTTCTGCCGTTGGTCCCCTCCTGCTTTCCCACAGATTTCCTGCAGCTTGCCGGCAGCGGTAAGCATCTCTAACCAATCTTTGTCCCCATCCCCATCCCTGTCCAGGCTTCCACCATCTCAGCCTATCAGTCGGAGATATACCCTTCGAAACCCGAAGGGAACATCGTACTTCCCCGTCCATCGGCCAGTAGGGCCCATGCCACGCCGCTGGGGATAGGGGTCGGATAAACGATGCGCAGGAAATGCGGAGGCGCACCTTTGTGAAATGGAGGCACCCCTAAATACGCGTTCTTGGGACACAGGCCCGAGCCGCGTTGTTATGTTCATCCTCGCTCCCCCGGATGTTCAAGCCAGAGAGCAGATTCTGATCCCTCCCTCATCACTGCCAAGCCGTTCCAAGCCTTCTACCGAAGGCCACATTCTCTGATCTTCCCATGTGGCGACCACTTGCGCGCGCGCGTGTGTGGGTGTGTGTGTGTGGAGTTGTTATTTCTTTGATCCTGCGCCCATTGGCAAGGACACTGTGCTTCGAGACATACTCGTCGGTCGTTTGAACGTAGTTTGTTTCGATCCCCTGATTCCAATACACTTGCGGCGCCTTCCTGATGCAATGATCAAGTGGGTTTCCCTTGTCCTTCATCTTCAGGTGGGGGGCGGAAGCTCAATCTACGTCTAACGCCTTCCTACTCCATGCTTCTGCCCACTTCTTCCGGCCGACGGTACGCGTCCCGTTACTTTGCATCCGTAGTTTGGATTCAGCCACGCGCCGTGAGGAAACAGCGTCGATATGAAGCTGCGACGGGCCACCCCGGGCGGTAGTCGCCCCCGCACCTCTGATCAGAGTGTCACGGATTTGTGGTCCCAGCACTGTGCCCCAGGGCCTAGCGGACCCAGGACATCGGAGGAGCATGAAAACACGAGCGGGAGCAGGAGCAGGGAGAGACACAGAGAGGGACAGAGAGAGATAGGGGCAGAGAGACAGAGCGAGCGGGGGGGGGGAGAGAGCACCACGAGGGTGAGCAGGAGCAGCAAGCAGGAGTTGGAGGAGTGAGGAGTTAAGCCCGGCCCGCTGGTCCGCGGGATTGCCCTCCGAGTTCCTGCAGCCACTCAGTTTTGGGGGAGCATCCGACCGGAGTGTGTAGGGCTGGTTAGGCGTATCCAGTGTTTTAAGCACGCGGATCGCGCTCTCTTCCCTCATCCTTTGCCCCATCGTCGACGCGCCCTCTAAACCCAGTGGGGTTGTCGTATTTGCAGGGCATCGGCAAGAACATCCAGAAGAATTACAGGCGGAGCCAGATCACGAGGATAGTGCCCCCTAAGGCTCTCGGCAACGTGCCGTCTGCCTCTTCGCAGATGACCCTTTGGGGAGGCGATGACTACAACATGTACACGAAGAAAAGGTGGAGTGGACGTTGGAATTATCACCACACATACCCGAACTGCTATCGGAAGGATTTCAAGTCGGACGCTCTCAACACTACCATCTTCAATATGCGCGTCACGCCCAGTGCCCTGTACAGCATGGATGACGCAGGGGGGTTCGACGATTACATACTCCGGACGCCCCCTCAGGAGCTGCGCTCAGCCACTGGCGAGAAGATGCGCCAGGTCATGTACTTCTACCAGAGTCGACCAGATGTGAAAGCATGGGGTCTGCCGTGGAAGGTCTTCCTGAGAGGCAAGGATCGGAAAGACCCAGCGTATGCAAGATATAAACACGAGGCCAGGAAGGAGGCCTCGGGTAGATCCGTCGCGCGGCAGCATGCGAGGTTCTCACCGTACTACCTCCCTACGGCTGCCCTGATGCACCCAGCACGGCAGGAGTTTGTCGAGGGGTCGATCCAGCCACAGCTCAACCCTTGGTGGCGGGACAGCTCGGCACTGGAGGCGGCCTTCCGACGAAGACTCCAGGAGGCCAAGGGCTTCGAGTTAGCACACGCAGACCATCGCGAGCCGATGGGCTTCCGCTACGGTCAGACTTTTGGCGGTGGCGGGCCGCCCAACACTTGCCCGCGGATGCGCAGCAAGACGCACAAGTGGCGCCAGCTCCGGCCCTACTGAGACGCAATATGCCCAGCCTTGGGCCCAGCAGCAATCTGGTGCATTGCCCTTGGGAGGGGGAGAGGTTTGAATGGCGTGATTCAGGGCGGGAGGAGGAAGTGGAGGGTAGGTGGAGCGGAGGGACGTAGGTGGGAGGGAGAAGGATGGATGGGTGAAGGGGAATACGTTTTTCTTGCCTCGGGTGCTTGCGCGCAGCAGCAGGAGAAGCTGCGCGATACCTCTCTGACTTGAAGTGTCCTGGGCGTGGCCTGGGCAAAACATCAGCTTCATTTCTGCATCGGCGTCGTTGTTGGCCTCGGGTGCAATGGTGTTTTTCAGTATTGGTTCATACATGTCGCAGGTCATCGCTGTCCTCCCTGTTCTTTCGTAAAGGTTGTATCCCCGTGCTCCTTGATTGAACCTGTCCGAGGACGGCCAGGTGAGACATTGGCCCTGTCTAGGCTGATGGACGGGGGCGGAGGAGTTGGAGGTTGGATGCAGGAGTACACGAAGGATGAGGAGTGGGAGGAGGATAAGAGCCGTCGACGTCTCGCGTGGCCTTCCTTCGACCCAGCGTGCCGTCTGAAAGCACACTCTGGACAGGTTGCCCTTGTGGAGATGCTGCTGGCGAGCGGCGCAAGGCTACCGCGACCCCCTCGGCTCGGGGGGAGATCGCGCCGCGCGTGCCGAGTCCTCGTCCTCCCAGTTCTGTGTGATGCAAAGTCCTCCTACCTTCTCCCTTCTTTCCCTTCTGGGAAGGATCATTCAGTACGATATGCGGTCGCGGGGGAAGGGAAGGGGCGGGGCTGACAGAGGGAGAGGGGGGATGGATAGGCATGAGGATGTGGAAGAGTGGGGCACGGTACGGTTGAGCGGGTCACGTGCCCGCGTCTGACATCGTGGAGCAATTCATGACATAGACATACGTTATCGGAGGTTCGCGCGGACGCTTTGGATCGGCGCTGGAGACCCCTGGCGGCGCCTCCGGCGCCGCCTCCGGCGCCGCCTCCGCACAAAGGGGGGAGGATCGAGCGCTAGTCATAGACATGCGCGCGGTTCGCCGAACACATACACGTTCCCCTACCGTCGGGTTGTTTTCCTCCTCCATAGGGTACCGCTCGTTGATCGGGCCCCCCCGGCCCGGGTTACGCTAGCGATCGTATTCGGGGGGGGGGCCTGGGACCCCCCTACACGCTGCGGTGCGCACAGGCGACTGGTCCGCCTGTGGCGCGATCGCACCGTCGCGGGTGAACGCCGCGGCCGCTGTTATTGTCCCCCTGCCCGGCCGAAGCCCCTTTTTCCCACCCTGGGTAACGACCGTTACTCAGGAAAGAAAAAAAAGGTCTCTACGGTCGGGGGAGTCACGCACCCCAGCTCACCAAACGCGTTGGTTGCCTGACGCATCCTGGACGCTTGTCGGGGCCTCGTTGCCCTCTTGTGTTTTTTTTCGGCGGAGAGCCCTGGGGGGAAAGTGAGAAGGCGCGGGCCTTCTCAGAAGGTTCGCAAGTCCCCCGGCCTTCTAAGACGTGTTCTAAGCCCTCCCCGAAGACACAGGCAATTTCTCAGAAGGCGCGAGGGCTTCTGAGAAGTCCCGCCGCCTTCTGAGAAGGCCTTCTCCTTCTCACTTCCCCCCCTCGGTCGCCGACGGTTTCTCGGGCGAGCCTCGAGGCCGTCCTCGGCGCCCCCTCCGGGGCTCTGTGTGTGGGCGGGGCCTGCCCGGAGGCCTTCGTGGCCTCCCCGGGGGCTCTCCTGGGGCGTGTGCCCCTGTTGGATTGTCGGGGGCGGCAAAGAGGGGGGTGATGACTAGGGAGGGGTTGGACATCATGGCGGGGGCCATGATATTTCCCCAGGTTTGGTGGCGCCCCTTCTTATTTCATTACGCCCCTGGCCCCTCCGCTGGGCCGCGCACATGCCGGCGGTCATGATGTGCACCCCCCCCCCTCTTGGACACCCCCCTCTTGGCCGCTCCCGAGATTGGGTTGGGGTTAAGTCGGGCGTGTCCCCCTACAGGGGGATTTTCGACGAAAAATAAAACATACCCTAAACATAAGAATCAAACAATAGTTCCAAAATAGTCTGGGGACTATTTTCGGAGTTTTTTAAACCTTTTTGGAGCATGTGTGGGGTATTTTTCATTTTTCGTCGAAAATCCCCCTGTAGGGGGACACGCCCGACATCAGGCTGGGGTGCACGTGGGCCCTGGAAGCGAGTTGCCGGCGTTGGAGGCCGATCCATGGGGGGTTCCCCGGAGATCCGAGGATCCAAGCTTTCCAAGCCGGCTATTTTGTCATCGACCTCGGCCTACGGGGCCCTTCTGTCGGGCCTGGGGACGTTCAAACATGGATCCGCGACGAAACACCACCCCTGGGGAAGGGGTCGGGCCGGGCGAAAGGGGAGGATTGGGAAAGGGGGGGGTTGCGAAACCTGCTGCATGCAGCTGGTTTCGGCCCCACCGAGGGGCCCATTTCTTGATACATTCGACTGGACGTAGGAGTGACCTTTCGCCAGAGTGACCTTTGGTGCGGGCACAGATGGTCCCCCAGATGCCTGAACGCGAAGCGGCAGCAGCGGCTTGCGCGCCCAGGTCTGGTCTCCCCGCGGCCCCCAAACAGCCGCGCACCAAAGGTCACTCTTACCCAGGGTCACTCTTACGTGTAGCCGATACATAGCCGCCTCTGGTGCCGGGAGGCGCCGGGAAGATCAGAAACGTGAGCTGATTCTCAACCCCCCCTTTGCTATCCCCCCATTCGCCCGGCCCGAAGGACTTGGCATCGCTCGGACGTGTGCATTTTTTTCTCGGCGACGGCCATCGAGGAGCATCCTTGATCATTTGGCGAGAAAAAAAACGACACGCACGCAATCGAAAAATACACGAGGAATGGACGTCCGAGCGATGGCAAGTTGCTATCTCCCCTTTCGCCCGGCCCGAAGAGGGCGGGACTTCTGGGGCCGCGGATGGAAAAGGCATTCCAAAAAGTCCTGCCGGCGGAGGTCTGGGTAAGCGAGAGTGCCCGACTCCTGGGGCACATTACAGTGCCGTGTTTAATACATGCTCCGAGGCCCTCGGTGGGTCGGGTCGGGCGAAAGGGGGGGTTTGGGAAAGGGGGGGTTACGAAATCTGCTACATGCAGCTGGTTTCGGCCTCACCGAGGGGCCCATTCCTCGATACATGGGCGCCTCCTGGCGCCGGGAGGCGCTGGGAAAATCAGCTACGTGAGCTGATTCTCAAACCCCACCTTTGCTATCCCCCCCTTTCGCCCGACCCGAGTGGGCCTCCGAGCGATGGCCACGGAGAGGCCCCGTGGGCTGCAGCCCTGGCGCGGGCAGCAACAACAATGCAGGTCCTTCCTGCTCGGGAGCGGCCTCGCGCCGTGGCCGGGCCCCGGGGTCTCAAGCAGTGGCGAAGCGTCCCGGCTCGCTTATGGCCCCACCAAGCAATGTTCTGAGAACCTTTTGCGGTTCCCGCGAGATGTTCTTGGAGCATTTCTGGCTGGGATCGTCTCGTTTCACACCTCGGGTGTGTGTTCTAAGAGCACCGTTTTTTGTTCTTAGAACATTTTAGGGGTTCGAAGAACATTTTGTGGTGTGGCTATAGGAATGCCGGGACGGTCGGTCCCTGTTCCAAGGTTTCCCGCCGTCGTTGTCGGCCACCCGCGGGTCGGACGCCTCTCCGACCGCTCCGCCCTGCAGGGTGCGGGCCACGAGGTTGCCCCCGCCGTTCCTGTTGGCCCCCCAGGGTCCCTTCCTTCGGCGGCGAGCGAGGGGGGGACGCCAGGCCCCCAGGTGGGGCCGGAGCAGATAGGGCTCGGAGGACGGCGCCGCATCGCCGGTGTATCGGCGATGCTGCTCGGTGCGGAGCCTGCTGTTCTCCACGCCGACGTCGCCAATGCGTCGCCGACGTCGCCGATGCGTCGTCGATGCATTGGTGATGTATCGCCGATGCATCGGCGGTGCGGCGCGATCCTCCGACGCTATATCTGCTCCGACCCCATCTCGGAGGCTTCCAACTCGGCGGCGAGCGAGGGGGGGAACCGAGACGGAGGCGCCGCACGGTTCTGGGACGCCGGAGGCTCCAGTCGCTCGAGATGTCCTCGGGGGGCGACCCCAGTCTCGGTCGTGAGCTGATTCTCACCCCCCCCTTTGCTATCCCCCAGAGAAGGCTCGGAAGTCCTTGGCATCGCTCGTACGTGGCATTTTTCCTTCTGCGAGGACCATCGAGGAGCATCCTTGATCATTTGGCGAAAAAACAACACGCACGAAACCGAAACAAGCACAGGGAATGGGCGACCGAGCGATGGCCAGAGGCTCGGAAGTCCCCAGGCCTTCTGAGAAGTTTCCGAGGCCTTCCGCGGAAGCGCAGGGATCTTCGCAGGGGGCGCGAGGGCTTCGGAGAAGCCTCGCCACCCTCTCGGGAAGGCCTCCTCCGTCTCACTTCCCCCCCCTCTCGCCGCCGATCCTGGCACCCTCCGACCTCTCGCCATTCAGGAAACGGGTCCTGAGGTTTCCCGCCGTTGTTTGGCCCCCGGGGTCCCTCCACGGGCCCTGGGACTGTCAAGTTACAGTCCGCAGAGGCGCCCTCAAGGGCGCGAAGTTATCTGCGCTTCGCAGTTCGGCTCCGATTCCTCCTTATCCTCTGCTACTCCCCTGAGCAAACGGGTCCTGAGGTTTTCCAGCGTTGTTGGCCCCGTGGGTCCCTCCACGGGCCCTGGGAATGTCAACAAAAACGATGTATTCACAATGGCGCCCCTCGAGGGGGCGAAGGTCTCCGCGCTTCGCGGTTCGACTCCGAGCCATCCTCATCTTTTTCTGGTTTCGTCCCCGAGCAAGCGAGTCCTGGGTCTTCCGCCGTTCCTGGCCGCACACAAAATGCCGCATCGGAGGGAGACTGGGGGACAGGGTTGCGGAGGGGTGAGGACGGAGGCGGGGCGCGCACAGGGGCGAGGCGGAGGGAGGAGGAGAGAGGAGAGAGCGCGGGCGAAACGGGGGGGCTAGGCGGGTGAGGAGTGGGACGGGGGGGGAGG